AGCCGATCCTGGTTTGTCAGTCCCTTTCCATGGGTCATTTTGGATCATTTCTATTGATGTGTCTTCAAGTTCACTCATTGTTTCTTCTATGGTGTCTAATCTGGTATTCATCCCATCCAGTGTATTTTTCATCTTAATTGTTGACTAGTTTCACATCTCGAGGTTCAGTTTGGTGTTTTTTAAGCTTTATTAGGTGGGACCAGAGCAGATTTAGCCCAGGGTCAGAGTTGGACCATGGACCACATGCTATCACGGCAGAGTTGAGGGTGTTAGAGCCATGTGGCCCGCAAAGCCTGAAGTATTTACCACGTGGCCTTTACAGAAAGTTTGTTGGCCTCTGGTCTAGGGCTTATTTGCCCACTACTCAGGTAATACCCTTCTGAGGACTCTCCCGCAGGCCCTGAATTTTAGACGGGTCTGCACTGTAGCCAGGGGTGGGGGTGGGGGGATTGTAAATGACTCCTAAATCCTGTGTGAGCACCGGTGACCGTTCCAGCTGCCTTTTTCCAGCAGTTTTGTCCCAGCCTGGATGGTCTCCTCCATGCACATGATGCTCAGTCACCAGCTGAAGGCTCAAGGGGACACCCTGTGTAGGTGTCTGGTGTTCGCTCCCTGCAGCCCTCTTTCCTCCATTCTGAAAATTCTGGCAACTGTGCTCTGAGCACACCCTGTCTCCTCAACTCAGGGAGACTGCCAGACTCGGAGGTAGCTGAGGCAATCCTGGGGCTGATCTCATCTGTGCAGGTGGGCATTTTACCGCCCCCTGAGGAGACTAAGGCTCTTGCCCGAGGTCACGCGTCTTCCCAGGACACTCTGCAGCGCATGCCACCACCATCTGGGTGTCCATCGGGGCCTTAGTGGGACAGACCCAGAGCTCTGAGGTTCTCTTCACCTCCGACACTTTGCAGGTGGTGACACGAGGCCCACGGAGGGTCAGGAACTTGTGTGCTTGCAGTGCCCTGTTTCCGTGGCTGCTTCTGGGCTGCAGGGTGGATGGGGCTTGTCTGTCTCCCCTGTCTGCTCTGGAGCACTTTGAAGGGAGAGACCAGAGCTGCCTCCCTCTGAGCCTCCTCCACGCAGCTCCATGGCCAGGGACGGTGGGGAAGGTGTTAGAGAGGGAGCTCCAGGTGGGAACCTGCTGGACCCTGACCTGGCTCTCAGAGTCCAGGCCTTCAGGAGACGGCATGCCACTCGGTCGGTTTGCTGCGGCATTTCCAGAAATGCAGACGTGGTGCATGCCCGAATGGCAGGGAGCAGCTGGGAGCGTGGCTCAGACGCTGCCCCCCCCTTTGTTCAAGTCCCCCCAGTAACCACCTGAACAATGAAAGTGCTCGTGCTGGGGGCGTGGGAGGCCGTGCCAGAGATTGGATGGGGAGGGCGTGGGAAAAGGAGGTGTGGGGAACCACTGGAGGGACGTATTTTGGGAGCTTGCATATACCGCCGCCCCCCGCCCCCCAGAGAGGCCAGGGGTCATCTGGGTCTAAAGCGCGCTCAAGCCCAGTGCCTGTATTGATCCTGCCATGTTCCCCTCTGCTCTAGCCTCACCCACTTCTATACTGCGTGGCTGGCCCCTGTCTGGGGCACGGCCATCCTCCGGCTCCCCCTAGGTATCATCCAGACCCCACTGCGCTGCCCTTTGGGGCTGAGAACCGGGATGGTTGTCACAGGTGTCTGGCCCCTCCTGGTTCTGTGCCTTTCTTCAAGCAAGGACTTTCCGCACAGGGACCCCCCGAGACCTTCCTTCCCTTGGGAGCCGGCCCGTGCATTCTGTGCCGGTTCTGTATTGGGCTGGCACTGTCCCATTGGTTCCCCAGCGACGCCCAGCCTGGGATACAGGATGCGCACGTGCCTGCCGACCCCACCCCCTGGCAACTGGGCAGTTGGTCCGATGCTCACACGGACACACTGGTTCCTGTGGTCAAGAGGTGTGAGCTTCAACGCGGGGACCCAGGCCACCTGCCTCTTGCCCAGTGCAGTCTCTTAACACACGGCGGGGCAAGGGTAGTCTCCAGATTCCAGCCTCCCCTTCATTGCCTGCACGGCTTTGGCCCTGGCCTTGCCCGGGACCCCTGCGGGGTCTGTGCGAGCTGGGGCTGCAGGGGGCAGCTGCTTGTACGCCTCCAGGTGGGGCCGGCAGCTTTGGGCTCCGGCCACGACGTGCGGGCGGGAGAGACCGTAGCAGTGAGCCAGGCTGACATCCCCGTTGGGCAGATGCCGAAACCAAGGGCCCGAGAGGGGCCGTGGCTTGTCCCGGGCTTCCCTCATTCCCGCGACTCAGACCATTTGGTCACATTCTCAGTTGACAGCAGCCCCCCGAGGCCCGCCGTAGACCAGGCCCCACGCTGGCTCCGAATGGGGGCTCTGCCCTGGATGAAGTCACAGTGTCACGGGCCAGCTGGGCCACCCAAGATAATTAGGCAAGGGAGTGAATCCCTCCATGCCTCAGTTTCCTCATCTGTGAAATGGGAGCAGCAACCGCTGCCTCACTGCGTGTTTGAGGACTGAACGTTACACCATCCTGCAGCACAAGACCCGGGTTCCAGCCTTCCGCGTCCGGCCCCAGCTCTCCCATGTACAGAACGGGGAACAGCATGCACGATGGGGGGGGGCTTCCAAGAAACCTCTGTGGCTCAGACTGGACAAGCTGTGGGGTCCTCCATGGGGAGCACCCGGCCCCCTCCCCCAGCATCATCCCAGTGCCTAGGGAGCGCCAAGCACCCCTCCCCACTCCCAGCATCTGCTGGCTCCTGTTACAAGCCCTCCTCTGACCGCCGCCTGGCACCGAACCCAGTACCCCGGGAGAGCCAGAGCTCAGCCCCAGGGCCCCATGGAAGGGACCCACCATGGGGGGGCAGGCCCCAACAGATCCAGCCCAACAGCAGATCTGGTCCGCTACCTGCTGGAGGGAGACGTGGGGAAGGACACAGGAGGAGTGGGTCCTGCTGGGGCATGTCCCCCAGCCCAGGCCCAGGGCAAGTCCCCATCTGCCATGGCAGGTGGGGCCTGGAAGCGGGCCTGACCAATCTGGTGGGGGATGGCGGTGACAAGGGAGCAAGGGGTGATGTGATGTCTGCCTCCAAGGAGAAACGTGTTGGCTGCGCCCTTTCCGGGGTGGCACGTGAAGCTGTTTGCCTCCAGGAGCGCCTTATCCAAGGGGTTCCCAGGGCTGGCTCTGGGGCTGGGGGGGCCCAGGTGAGGAAGTCCCCACTACCACCCCACCCACCTCAAGGTCTCACGTTCAACTGGTGAAATCTAAGGCCATCGTGAGCCCACCCAGCCATCCTTGTGTCTCATCTGTCCCCTCAGCCACCTCCTTGCTAAGCGATCTCTGGCCTTTCCTTAAACACCTCCTGGGATGGGGAGCTCATTCCCTATCAAGACCCCTGCCGCACTCTGGGGCAGAAAGCGCCTCCTCAACTGGCCCCAACATCTGCCTCTGTTGGCTTCCCCTTGCTTGTCCTAGCCCCTGCCTGGCCTGTAGCCACGCCCTCTGCCCCACCTGAAACAGCCCTTCAGAGACCCAAAGCCAGCGAGCGGTTGTCCCCCAGAGAATGGAGTGAATCCTGGGCCTCAGCCATGATGGAGCCCGGCTGGTCCTACAGCTCCCCTGCCCCCATTGGACCACAGAGAGAGCTGGGCCCGGAGAAGCTAGGTGTCTTTGCTCAGGGTCACACAGATCGTGTCCTGGGCAGGGCAGGGCAGGGCAGGGAGGAGCCCACATGGGCCTGCAGAGGCCAGCTGGGTGAGCTCACCGGAGTGTGTGGACTCATCCCCAGCAGGCCCCAGTCTGCCTGTCCTTCACCCTGCGCCTACAGATCCCAGTGAGGGGAGCCTGTTGGGCCACCCTCGCGGTGGGGGTGGGGGGTGAACTTGGCTCCCTAGCTGGCCTGGGTAGGTTCTAGCCTGACCACTCCCAGCTCATTGTAAGGCCAAGTCCCTGGCCTCTTAAGTCTTCTCCAGAAGATTCTCAGGCCCTGGACAGGGCAGTGGCGCCGGTCTCGAAGGGCTGGGGGGGCTGGATGTCTGTGTTGGTTGTCCACCTCAGGCCCAGACCCCCCCATATGCTCCCCTTGGCTGCCCAGTTGGATGGGGAGGGGGGGACGAGAGAGAGGGCCAGAGATGGTCACTGAGCCCCAGCCGTCCCAAGCATCTGCTGACTACCCCCAAGGCAGGTGAGCTCATCCCAACCACCCTGTTCTCCTCTGCCTGTCACTGCCCACGTGGGGCTAGGGCTTGGGCTGGATGCACTCTGACCTCTGGGGCCCCACCCTGAGCCAGGTCCAGGAGGCTGGAGGTCCGCTGTTGTCACATAATAGAGCACACCTGCTGGTTTGGGCTCCGTTCAGACAGACAGGAGAGGTGGTAGCGGGAAGCCTGGCCAAGTCCGCGCCAGAAAGGGACGCGCAGGTGACTTCAAGAACACCTGTACCAGCTGCTGCCCTTCTGGCTGTTGACACATCTGGTCCACCTCGGCATCTCAGGGTGGCTGGTGGCAGGTGAAGGTGTGGGCTGCTCGGGCTCGGGAATGCAAGCCAGGAAGGGACCAAAACGGGGCGCCCCCGTGCCAAGCCCTGATACCCACGAGGAAGGCAGGCTGCCCTGGGGGCTGGCCCCAGCACGCTCCCAACCTCAGGATGCAGACCCTGCCTGGCTCCCAGGCATTCTCTCCTCCCTCCACGGGCCTCACCGGCCAGGAGACGGGGCTTTGTTTTCTGTCGTCTTGTACTACAGAGACAGAGGGCCTGCCGAATGTGCTTCTCCAGGCCCGCGGCTCCAGGAAGTCCAGTCTGCGCCACCGATGGAGAATCTTGAACCCTAGAACTTCGGGACCAGAGAGGCCCCCAGCCCATCGCTGCCCAGTCCCAGTGCTGAGGCTGGGGGTGGGGCAGGGCTAGCAGGGGCGCCCAGAGAGGGCGGTGGGTGTGGAGGGCTGTGCGTTCTGCCGAGCGCCAGTCCCCGCTGCCTTGCCACCCAAAGCCCTGGTCTCTTCCTGCTCGCAGGTGATAGCCGTGGTCATGGACATGTTCACCGACGTGGACATCTTCAAGGACCTGCTGGACGCCGGCTTCAAGAGGAAGGTGGCCGTGTACATCATCGTGGACGAGAGTAACGTCAAGTACTTCCTGCACATGTGTGAGCGGGCCCGCATGCACCTGGGGCACCTCAAGGTGAGCTGGCTGGTCCGGAATGACCGAGCGGTCATTCGGTGGGTCCACAAACACTTGCAGCACCTGCCTCCTAGGGATGGAGCCCTATGCTGGGCACAGAGAGGTCAGTCATCCTAGAGCCTCCTGCCAAGCGGTCACCTGACCTCTGCCTGACCACCCAGAGGGACAGGACACCACCTCCGACCGTCAGAGATAAGATAAACGCTGGTTAAGGGCTAATCCGGTCCTGGAGCCGAGGCAAGGTGCTTTATCACGTATGATTTCCGAGCAGCCCAGGCCACGTTGATTCCCTGTCTTTGCTTGCACACCTCCAGTGACAGGGTGCTCACCACCCAGGCTCCCGCAGCTCACATCCTATCTGGAGAGCTCTGACTCCCAGGAAGTTATTTCTTGGGCTGAAGCCAGAATCTTTCTCTGTATGATGTTCTACCCACCCCTTTTAGAATCTGGCTCTGGCAGAGGCAGCTTCCTCGGGCTGGGGTCAGGGAAGGCTTCCCTGATGGCTGCAGACTTGAAATAAATTTGAGGAGGGAGAGCAGGGTAGAAAGGGCTTTCTAGGGAAGGACACAATGGAGCAGAGGGGGAGGGATCAGGATGAACCTGGGTTCTTAGCAGCCCTTTGCTGTGTGTCCTTGAGCTCATCACTGCCTGTCTCTGGGCTCCAGGATCTCTCTGGTCCCGAAGAGGGGCAGGTGGGCCACTGTCGCTGTGCTCTTGCACTCAGCCTAAATTTGATCCCGTGTTTGGGGGCAGGAGGAGCCCTCCTTCCACCCAGCTGTCGCTCGGCCCCTGCTGTGTGCAGCACGGTCCCCAGAGAGTACGGATCAGTATGCATGACAAGAGCGGGCACTTGACTGGTTAATTTGTCCAGGTGTCACTCGCTGCCAGTAAGTTAAGCATAAGGGGAGTGGGGGCCAGCACCAGAGCTGCTCCTGACCGGTCAGATTTCCTTGGGCTTCCGGCCTGTGATCTGAACACGATCGCGGGAGAAGGGGCGACGCCAGGCTGGTTAACAAGGGGCTGGGCTCCTGCGCCTATAATTTGTTGGTATTCGTCAGGTATGCCCACCCATCCCAGCTGAGCCCTTTCAAGTGGCTATGAGCTCTCTGGGCAGCGAGTCTGTGGCTGTTGGGACATTTTTATGTGGTCTCCCTGGTGGGTTGACCCCAAGCCCCACGCTCACCCCGCGCGCTGCCCGCCGTGTAATTAGCACCGAGAATGGACTCCCGGGACAGACAGCTCATGCTGGAGAGGTCCGGAGTGTAGAAAAGGCGTCTCTTGAAAGGTGACTTGCAGAAGCCTCTGCCCCGTGGGCAGCAGATCAGAGAACCTCTGGGCGCCCCCCTGCCCCCCACATCCTGCCGTGAGCCCAGTGGGTGCTTTACACACGTCACGTGGCTCAGCCCCCGCATGCGTGCCTCGTGTGGGATGAAGACGCAGGGAGTGGGCTTGTCCATGCCAAGCGGGATCTGAACCTGGGACTGGCCTCACCCCTGTCTGGTGTGTCTTCTCGGCAGGGAAATCTCAAGTGTTAAGCCTGCTCAGAGCTTCCGGAGCTCCTGGGAAGTGGGAGGCAGGCAGGACTGGGCGGAGCACGTGGCCCCAGGGGCTGCTCGGCTCCCTCCCTGGGAGGTTGGTTCCTGGCCCTCACTGCCCGCCCACCTACCCTGCCTTCTGTTCCCTGGTGTGATCGGGGGGCTCAGAATCTGCTGCAGCCCCGCAGCTTCCTAGGGGCCTGGAATGCCCAAGCTGGGCCTTGAGGGCCCCCCGGCCGAGGCTCCCACGTGGCAGGTGGGGAAACTGAGGCCTCAGGGAGGCTGTGGCTCGCCCAGAGGCATTCCGCCAAGTCAGCGGCTGAGCCTGACCGCCAGAAATGAGAAGTTGGCACAGACCAGGAGGGCACGATCCTCGGTGCCTGACACCCCTGGCTGAGGATGCACCTGCCATTGGGGCAGTCCCAGTGCTGCCCACGGAGGCTCACCGTGCTGACCCACTGTGGGACTGGGGCACGTGGCTCCACCTGCCTGCGCCTCCAGCGCCTCGTGGCCTAATAGGGTTGTTTGAGGATGAAATTAGAGGAGACAATGGTTATAAAAGCGTTCCGCGTGCTAAGTAAGGGCAGTTAGGCAGTTGCTGGCTCTAAGGAATTATAAACCCCAGGCCCCAGGCAGGGGAGGGTGCGGTATGCGGCCTCTCCCCACACTTTAGGCTGAAATGAGACCATAGCCCGAAGCAGGGGCGGGGCAGCTCGAACCAGGGGTCCCTGCTCACCACCTCCCTGCAGTGATGTGCCCAGGAGCCGGACGCCACGGAGAGTCGGGCCCCTTCATGGGAATGAATGGGTGACCCTGACCTCCTCACTCTTGCTGTTGAGCCCGTCCCCTCCACAGCCTGGGCAGGTGGCCAGAGGCTCCTGTGAGCCTGGCCCTGGCCAAGTGTCACGTTGTCGAGGGCCTGCCTGCTTGGTCTACCTCCCTGCCCGTGGGCCGGCTGGGCCCGGGCCCGTCTCAGGAGCACTTCCTTTGCCAGTAATCCCTGGGCCCGCCCTCGGCCGCCCGCCGCCCCTGCCCAGCTCTGCAGTGACCTGCCCTCAGCTCCTACGGGCCCGGGGTAGCTTGTGCCTGGTGGGGTCATCCTTGTGACCAGGGGGGTGTCGGGCACCGGTCTGGGCAGTGCCGGGAGCCAGGCCTGAGCCCTAGGTCTGCCACCTGCACCGTGACCCTGGGCAAAGATACTGAATCTTTGTCGGCCTCAGCTTCCTTGTCTGAGAAACGGGAATTTGCCCCATTTATTTGGCAGGGCTGCTCTGAAGAGTAAAGGAAGCCATGGGGGGGCAGGGCAGTCAGTAATGAACTCTTCTCCCTGACCTGTCCTTCAGCCCTCCTCATGAGACCCCAGCTCTGGTCTTAAGAGCTTCCCTCCTCCTTCCAGCTGTGTTCTGGCTGGGGGCCACCCTCACGCCCTCACCTCCAGGCAGCCTGCCACCCCCACCCCAGCCTCGTGCCTCCTGAGCTCTGAGCTCTGCAAACAGATGCTGCATTGCTTGGGTCAAGCCAACTCCTGCTTCCTAGGGGAGGTGGCAGGCCATGCGCCAGCACCTTCCCCGGGTGTGAGGGTCCCAGCCATCCCCAAGTACCCCAGCCTGCTGGCTTAGCTGGCCCCTGACTCCTTCAGGCAGGGAGTGTGGGAATGAGCGCCCCGAATTACAAACAGAGACCAGGCCCCGAGAAGAGGACCCGCCCTCTGGTCCCCATGGGGCCCAGCGCCACACCAGGTGACCTGGCCACATTCGGGGTGAGACTGAGAGCTGACGGATGCCCCAGAGGCAGGGGGAGCTAGGGGAAGCTAGGCTGGGCCTCGAGCCTCACAGCTGACACAGGACCGAGCCTCACAGCTGAGACAGGACCGGAGCAGCGAGATGCCTGGCTGATCTGAAAAGGTAGTCGGCTTTGTGCCGCCAAACTGGAAAAACCGGCAGCCACTGGGCTAAGGCCGGACCTCTGTCTGATGAACGAGGGAACTCCAGCCACCCTGGTGAGGATGCCGGGGTGCAGCCTGTGGCTCAGGTTCCACGCCTTGGCCCCGTTCCGGCGCCCAGGGCTTCTCCCACTGCTGTCCTGCCATCTCTGATCCTGGCCTGGCTCTGTGATGGGCCAGTGCTTCTCACCAAGCGGGCTTTGCCTGGCTTGGGCCATTTGTCAACGTTCTGAGGATTTTTAATGGTTGCGACTGGGAGGGGACTATTGGCAGCTGGTGGGTAGAAGCCAGGGACACCGTTAAACGTGCTGTGTGCAATGTACAGTCCCTGCAACAGGGCATCACCTGGCCCAGAATATCAGCAGTGCCGGGGCTGAGCAACCCAGCCTGGGGGAGGAGCCAGGAGCCCCTCAGACGTCAAGGCCCTGGAGCTGGGCTGGTTCAGCGCTGCCCCGTCCCCTCCTCATCCCAGCTTCATGATGGCACGGGGAGGCCAGGGTGAGTGTGGCTCCCAGTCCCCTATCACAGAGAGTGAAACAGGCCCTTTAGAGGCGAGTGGACGCTGGTTGGCTGCTCAGGACACGGGGACATGGGCTCTCTGTCCCCTGCAGTCTGCACAGCTGGCCCGATCTCGCTGTCACCAGCCAGGCTTGGTCAGGGCCTCTGGGCCTCCCGACTCCCTGTTGGGCCCAGGAGATGCCAGCAGGCCCCTGCAGAGAGCCACCACGGGACAGCTGGGGGGCTGGAGCCCACCGACTGGGAGACTGTGGGCCGGTCACTCCCCCTCGCTGAGCCCCCCGCGACCATCACATATGGCTGGCGGTCCTGGCCTCCCTGGGCCTGACCCACGACATTCTAGGTATTTTCTGGTCCTCCACGTCAGTCCCCTCTTTCCCCCCATGAGCAGAAGGGGTCACGTCCCTGTCACGCTACACGAGCTGTCACATCCTTTGTCACCTCCCATTCGTGGAGCACCCGTCGAGCTCCGGGCACCTTGCTGGTTCTCACCCCATGCATCGTGGCTCTAGTCAGGCTTCACAGCAGCCCTGAAGCAGAAGGCTCAGTGGGCCCACTTCACAGGTGAGAAAACTGAGGCCCAGGGAGGCCCAGCTGGGACTGGAGCCATGTTTGACCAGAGCCTGAGTGACCCACCCTGCCCCGGCGGGGGACTGAGCTTGTCCCCTTTGCCTACCACCGGCCCACGTGGGGCCCTGGGCAGCTTGGTACGGGGTCAGGTGGCCTCTTTGTGAGCATAGGAGGCCCAGTGGGGGGTGCAGGCAGGGCACCTGCAGGTCTGCCCCGGCCTAGTGCCCACCCCGTCGTGCCCCACAGTGGATGGGGCAAAAGCCACTCTTGGAGCGGACGGAGCACTGCCCAGCTGTCCTCCCCTGAGGTCCTCGCAGGGACTGATCTCTGCCTCCCTTTTGTGCCTGAGGAAGCTGAGATTCCAGAGAGTCCAGGGCCTTGCCCCAGGCGCCCCACGGGAGCCAGCCTGGGTGTCCTCCACCCTGCCTGCTACATGC